CTGAAACCCTCTCTTTGGAAGCACCAAAATCGCCCTAGTGTGGAGTTGTATATGGAATAAATGACATTGAGTTCGGATTAAATGAACTCTCTGCCCCCAGCGATTTCCGCTTTTGCGGCACCATGACCACTTCTACAGAAATCGCCCCTGCGGAAAAAGGACCGCTTTTGCGGAATTGGCCCAAGAAGCCTGGACCGCTTCTGCGGTCAGGTGCCCGCTAATGTGGGTCCGCTTCTGCGGATATCGAGCCGCTTCTGCAGATTGGGCCTAAGGTGACAGGACCGCATCTGCGGTCTGGGGATCGCATAAGCGGGATCGCTTCTGCGGTCCCTGGGCCGCTTCTGCGATTTTCCCCTTGGCCTTCCCTTTTCGCTTCTGCGATCGCCTGACCGCATCTGCGGTCCCGCTTCTGCAGCGCAAGAACCGCAGATGCGGTTATGACAGAAGCAGCAACCTTCAGCTATTCTTCAATTTTTCTACTTCGCTCGAACCTCGCTCATTTGACACTCGGGGCTCCCGAGCCCCGCCCGAACATACCGACAAGTCTGAAATAACGAGGCGGACCTACTCGATCCCTCGGAACTCCCAAAACAACGCTAAATCTCGGAATCACCCCCTAAAACCAAATAAATCAAACTATTGAATCTTCAAGTTCTTAATTCTCCTCTAACGGGTCAGAACGCCCTTAAACTACTCGGATTGACACCAAATTTTACGAGCAAGTCTTAAATGACATCACGGACCTGTACCAAGATTCGGAACCAAAATCCGAGCCCGATACCTAGGGAATCAATGATTACTTAGTTTCTTTAATTTCTTAAAGCTTCAATTAAACAATTTTAGATAAAAATTCATTACTCGGGCTAGGACCTCGGAATTCGATTCCGGACACACGCCCAGGTCCCATATTTTCCCACGGACCCTCAGAAATTGTCAAATCATGAATCCGGGTCCGTTTTCCCAAAATGTTGACCGAAGTTAAACTTGGTCTTTTTAAGAAATCCTAATGAAGCAAATGGGCATATTTTTACTCAAAACCCTTCCAATTCCCGAACCAATTGCCCCCGCAAGTCGTAAATTAGTTAAAGCAAGTATGGGAGGATTTATTTAGGGGAACGGGGTTCTAAAAGGCAAAACGACCGGTCGGGTCGTTACATTCTCCACCTCTTAAACAAACGTTCGTCCTCGAACGGACATAGAAAAGTACCTGGACTGCTGAATAAGTGGGGATATCTGCTCCGCATGTCCTCCTTGGACTCCCAGGTCGCCTCCTCGACCGGTTGGCCCCTCCACTGGACTCTCACCGCAGAAATCTTCTTGGACCTTAGCTGGCGATCTTGTCTATCAATAATAGCAACTAGCTCCTCCTCATAGCCCAAGCTCTCATCTAGCTGAATGGTGCTGAAGTCCAACATGTGGGATAGGTCGGCATGATACTTCCGAAGCATCGAAACGTGAAAGACTGGGTGAACTCCCGATAAACTAGGGGGTAAAGCAAGCTCATAAGCAACCTCCCCAACTCTCCTCAACACCTCAAAGGGGCCAATAAACCTTGGGCTCAACTTGCCCTTCTTCCCGAACCTCATAATGCCCTTCATGGGCGAGACTTTCAAGAAAACCTTCTCGCCCACCATAAATGATACATCCCGTGCCTTCTGATCCGCGTAGCTCTTCTGTCTGGACTGAGCTGTGCGAAGCCTCTCCTGAATCAACTTTACCTTATCCAAGGCATCCTGTACTAGATCTGTGCCAAGTATCTTAGCCTCACCAGGCTCAAACCACCCGATAGGAGAACGACAATGTCTACCATATAAAGCCTCGTATGGGGCCATCTCTATGCTAGACTGGTAGCTGTTATTGTATGCAAACTCTGCTAAGGGCAAGAACTGATCCCACTGCCCTCCAAAATCAATCGCACATGCTATAAGCATATCCTCCAAGATCTGCACTGTCCGCTCCGACTGTCCGTCGGTCTGAGGATGGAATGCTGTGCTAAGCTCTACATGAGTCCCCAACTCACTCTGCACGGCTCTCCAGAAATGGGAAGTGAACTGAGGGCCTCTGTCTGATATGATGGACACCGGCACACCATGCAATCGGACTATCTCCCGAATATAGATCTGAGCATACCTCTCTACTGTATAAGTAGTTGCCACTGGAATGAAATGGGCCGACTTGGTCAATCTATCCACAATGACCCACACTGAATCAACCTTCCGCAAGGTCCGCGGTAACCCAACCACGAAGTCCATGGTAATGCGCTCCCACTTCCACGCTGGTATAGGCATCCGCTGAAGTAGGCCGCCTGGTCTCTGATGTTCATACTTGACCTGCTGGCAATTGAAACACTTAGTCACATACTTCACTATGTCCTTCTTCATCCCCCGCCACCAGTAATGCTGCCTCAAATCACGATACATCTTCGTGACTCCCGGGTGAATAGAATACCTCGAACTGTGGGCCTCTTCTAGAATCCGCTCCCTGAGACCATCGACATTAGGGACGCATAGATGGCCCTGGAGCCGCAGCACACCATCCTCGCCAATAGAAACCTCCTTGGCACCTCCCTGAAGTACCGTCTCTCTGAGGACTGCCAAATGTGGATCATCATACTGCCGGGCCTTGATCTCCCCCAATAGCGAAGACTGGGCGACCACACACGCTAGAACTCGGCTGGGCTCTGAAATGTCCAACCTCACAAGTCTGTTAGCCAAGGACTGAATGTCCAAGGCTAGTGGCCTCTCCTCTGCTAGAATGAATGCTAGGCTACCCATGCTCTCCGCCTTTCTGCTCAAGGCATCCGCAACCACATTCGCCTTGCCCGGATGATAAAGAATGGTGATGTCATAATCCTTCAGCAACTCAAGCCACCTGCGTTGCCTCAAATTGAGATCCCTCTGTTTGAACAAATGCTGTAGGCTACGGTGGTCGGTGTAAACCTCACAAGGCACCCCGTACAAATAGTGCCTCCATATCTTAAGAGCATGAACAATTGCTGCCAACTCCAGATCGTGCACAGGGTAATTTTTCTCGTGAATCTTCAGCTGACGCGAGGCATATGCAATAACTCGCCCTTCCTGCATCAACACACATCCCAAACCAACGCGTGAGGCGTCGCAATATACAGTATACATCCCCGAACCGGAAGGCAATACAAGAACTGGTGCCGAAGTCAAAGCTGTCTTGAGCTTCTAGAAGCTCTCCTCACAATCATCGGACCAAATGAATGGGGCACCCTTCTGGGTCAGTCTAGTCAAGGGTGATGCAATAGATGAAAAGCCCTGCATGAATCGCCGGTAATAACCTGCTAATCCCAGGAAACTCCTGATCTCGGTCACTGAAGTGGGACGTGGCCAACTCTGAACTGCCTCGATCTTCTTGGGATCAACCTTAATACCCTCTCCGGACACAATATGCCCCAAGAATGCCACTGACTCGAGCCAAAACTCACACTTGGAGAACTTAGCATACAGCTGCTGCTCTCGCAAGGTCTGAAGCACTACTCTCAAATGTTGCTCGTGCTCTCCCAAGCTACGCGAGTATATCAAGATGTCGTCAATGAAGACGACGACAAAGAAATCAATATAAGGCTTGAATACCCTATTCATCAGATCCATAAATGCTGATGGCGCATTGGTCAAGCCAAAGAACATCACTAGAAACTCATAATGGCCATATCTAGTCCAGAATGCAGTCTTCGGAACATCCGAGTCCCGAATCTTCAGCTGATGATATCCTGACCTCAGGTCAATCTTAGAGAACACCCTAGCACCCTGCAGCTGGTCGAACAAATCATCAATACGAGGCAACGGGTACTTGTTCTTGATGGTGACCTTGTTCAACTGGCGGTAATCAATGCACATCCGCATGGTCCCATCCTTCTTCTTCACAAATAGCACTGGTGCGCCCCAAGGCGATACACTAGGCCTGATAAACCCCTTTGCTAGAAACTCCTTCAACTCCTTAGGGGCTATATGGTACGGTGGAATGGATATAGGCCGAGTGCCTGGGGCCAAATCAATGCAGAAATCAATATCACGATCCGGAGGCATGCCGGGCAGATCAGAAGGAAAGACATCGCCGAACTCTCGAACTAATGGCACTGAATCAATCGTCGAAGACTCTGCAGTGGTGTCTCGAACATAAGCTAAGTAAGCCAAACACCCTTTTCCAACCATGTGCTGAGCCTTCAGGAAAGAGATAACCCTGCTAGGCATGTCAATTGTGGAACCCTTCCACTCCAATCTCGGCGACCCTGGCATCACTAGTGAAACAGTCTTGGCATGGCAATCAAGGATGGCGTGATATGGATATAGCCAATCCATGCCCAAGATGACCTCAAAATCGATCATGTCCAGCAACAGAAGATCTGCTCTAGTCTCGAGACCACAGAAAGTGACCACACAAGACTGGTAGATCCAATCCACAACCACAAAATCACCCACAGGAGTGGACACATGAACAGGAACACCCAAGGGCTCAGGAGAAATAACCAGGAAGCGAGCGAACAGAGATGATACATACGAATAAGTAGACCCTGGATCAAATAATACCGAAGCGTCCCTACCACCAACGGGAACAATATCTGTGATGACGGCATCTGAGGCCAATGCATCCGGCCTGGCTGGAAGAGCATAGAACCTGGCTGGAGCGCCGGCTGTCTGACCTCCACCTGACTGAGTAGTAGCTGGCTGACCCCTCCCTGTCTGGCCTCTACCTCTAAGACGACCTCTATCCGTCTACCTTCCACCACTAGGTGGCTGGGCAGCTGGTGCTGGAATCATGGGCTGCTGACCCTGCTGCACTGCCTTACCCCGAAGCCTGGGGCAGTATCTCCTCATGTGATCGGGATCTCCGCACACAAAGCAACAACGCGGGGCGGCGACCTGCTGCCCTGATGGCTGACCCTGATAACCCGTAGAACCGCTGGAAGAAGCCTGGATAGCCGATAGACGACACGAACTCTCCGGCATGGCATTGAAATAAGGATCAGGAGGACCCTAGGGACCTGAATACCCACTGGAGGAACCCTGAATGGCTGGCGGGCAGTAGGAAGTCTCTGTCATAGCACTGAGATAGGGGCGTGCTGGAGCCCCCTGGGTAGGAGGTGGTGCTGAAACTGGTGGCCTACTAGGCTGGCCTCTCCCATACTGACCTCTGCCCCTAGCTGGGGAACCTCTGAATCCGCCGGAGAACCTAGCTCTCTTATCCTGCTGTATCTGCGCTCTACCCCTCTGGCGATATCCCTCAATCCGACGAGCAATCTCGACCACTAGCTGATACTCTGTGCCCATCTCCACCTCTCGAGCCATACTAAATCGAATACCGGGCTACAATCTAGCGACAAACCTCCGCACCCTCTCCGCATCTGTAGGAAGTATCATGAGTTCATGGCGGGACAACTCGGAAAACCTCGCCTCATAGTCAGTCACAGACATCTGACCCTGCTCGAGCTGCTCAAACTGGTACCGCAGCTCCTCCCTCTCAGAGGGCGGGATATACCTATCCAAGAACAACTGTACAAACTGATCCCAAGTGATGGGAGGAGAACCTGCTGGCCTGCCAAGTACATAGGACTGCCACCATCTACAGGCCCTGCCCTCAAGCTGAAAAGTAGTGAAGTCAACTCCATGCGACTCTAATATCCTCATGTTGTGCAGCCTGTCCCTGGACCTGTCTATGAAGTGCATCCTCATGACGCTCACCCCCAAAGACTGGAGGGTGAAGCCTGGTCCATCTGTCTAATAACTTTTGTGGGTCACCATCCACAGCTGGCCTGGGCTGGGGTGCCACTGCAGCAACTGGCTGAGCCCCATCTGCGGGTAGTGCACCCGAAGTCTGAGATACTGCAGCTGCATGGCCTGGAGCCTGAGCAGTAGGGGTCTGGGCTCCCCCTCCTGCTTGTGAAGTGGCTGGGTCTGCTGGAAATAAACCCGCCTGAGTCATGGTCTCCATGAACCGTAGCATGCAGCCCATGACCTCCTGAAATCCCGGTGCTGTCATGAAATCCGCCGGGGTAGGCTCAGCTGCGGGCACCTCGCCCTGCTCCTCAATAATAGGGTCCTCCACAGGATCTGCCGGTGGTGCAACTGGAACGGCTCTGGGACGCCCTCGTCCCCTACCACGGATCGGTGCCCTCCCCCGGCCTCTACCTCGGCCTCTAGCAACGGGAGGAGCAGCTCCTCCCGGGTCCGGAATGTCGGCGGTACGAGTTCTCACCATCTGTGAGAGAATAGAAGAGGGAAATTTAGTACTCTCGGCGCTACACAACAGGAAATGAATAAAGAGTAGTCTTTCCTAATACCCTATAGCCTCTCGAAGATAAATACAGACGTCTCCGTATCGATCAGCAAGACTCTATCAGGTTTGCCCATAACTCGTGAGACCTACGTGAACCTAGTGCTCTGATACCATGTTGTCACGACCTATTTTCACAATAGGTCATGAGGGCGCCTGACACCCTTGTCAGGCAAGCCATTGCGGAAATATTACTAAAATACTTATATTGTTTTTATCTAGAAATAAGCGGAATAAACACTCAACTTGGAATTTAAAACTAGAAGAGATAAATACTATAATAAATAGTTACACAACCCCAAAATAATCGTCTACCAAGGTGTGTGCTAGAACCCGGTGTCACAAGCTATGGGCAACTAGTAGAATATACAACCCAAAAGAATACCACACTACCCTACTGTCTGGATCAGAATAGACAAAAAATACAATACAAAAGAAAGACTTCTTCGGCTGCGGATCGACATGGAAGGAAAGCAGCTCACCGTAGAAGTCCCAAGCCGGCTCACGAATGCGCACCAGAGAAATAACCGGATCCACCTGCCTCAGACCCTGTACATTTAAGTACAGAAGCGTAGCATGAGTACATAAACAATATGTACCCAGTGAGTATCCCGCCTAATCTCGAAGAAGTAGAGACGAGAGGTCGACTTGATACTCACTAGGGTCAGATAATATCATAAGTTTAAGTTTAACAATGAAAAATCTATAATAGGAAACAGTTTACAACAAGTCATGTAAGTCATATTCTCGCTAAGATTCCGATTAATCAATTACTTCAGTTACAATTATCAATTCCTTTCGAGTCATGAAAAAGCAGTTCTAATATTTAACACTCTCAGGCAAAGCTATATAAGCATGCGCAAATATGCCGAGGCGACTGCCCGATCCAACAGAAATAAACTGTGCACTTGCCGAGGGTCGACGGCGCGCCTATAGATGCATCTATTCATACCAAGGCGATCGGCCCGATCCACAAATAAGTAGAGATATCAAGTAGACACACAAGGCACATCAATAGTCATAAATGCCAAGCAAGACTTCAACAATTATACAAGTACATCCTTAATCCTTTTTTAAATTTCTAGCATATCCTAGGTGCTCATAGTAACAAGATAATATAGAGAGTTATGTAAAATAAGCATGTGGTTCCTAAACTACCCGGACCATTAACATAGTAGTAGCTATGCACGGACTCTCGTCACCTAGCGCGTGTGTAGCCCCCGCATTTAGCAACAATTACTCAATTATTAATCCTATGGGGACAGTTCCCCCTCACAAGGTTAGAAAGGAGACTCACCTCGCTCCAAAGCAGCTCCCAATATCAAGAACAAGCCCAAGCTCTTAATTCGAAGCCGAACGATCGCAAACTAGTTAAAATAGGTAAGAACTAGTCAATAAAGGCTTAAAAGGCCGAATTCTAACTATTTAAGTAATTTTCCAACCTTTTCCACAAGTTTCCTAAATTCCGACCCCCGGGCCCACATGCCCGGATTCTGATATTTTTCGAAGGAAAATGTTCTCTACAACCTAAGGATCAATAATATGTAAATTCTAGCCCATTTCATAACAAATTACATGATTAAATCTTAGTTTTATTAAAACCCCTAGGTCTAGCTCTAACCCTTTGATTTTACCTAATTTTTTAGTGTTTAATCTTCCTAATATACATGTATTTAAACTAAGGATGGATGGGGATTACTTACCTTACAATGCTATGCTGACACCCTCTCTTTGGAAGCACCAAAATCGCCCTAGTGTGGAGTTGTATATGGAATAAATGACTTTGAGTTCGGATTAAATGAACTCTCTGCCCTCAGCGATTTTCGCTTCTGCGGCACCATGACCGCTTTTGCGGAAATCGCCCCTGCGGAAAAAGGCCTGCTTTTGCGGAATTGGCCCAAGAAGCCTGGACCGCTTCTGCGGTCAGGTGCCCGCTTATGCGGGTCCGCTTCTGCGAATGTCGAGCCGCTTCTACGGATTGGGCCTAAGGTGACTGGACCGCATCTGCGGTCTGGGGATTGCATAAGCGGGACCGCTTCTGCAATTTTCCCCTTGGCCTGCCCTTTTCGCTTCCGCGATGGCCTGACCGCATCTGCGGTCCCGCTTCTGCGGCGCAAGAACCGCAGATGCGGTTATGACAGAAGCAGCAACCTTCAGCTATTCTTCAATTTTTCTACTTCGCTCGAACCTCGCTCGTTTGACGCTCGGGGCTCCCGAGCCCAGCCCGAACATAACAACAAGTCTGAAATCACGAGGCGGACCTACTCAAACCCTCGGAACTCCCAAAACAACGCTAAATCTCGGAATCACCCCCTAAAACCAAATGAATCAAACTATTGAATCTTCAAGTTCTTAATTCTCTTCTAACGGGTCAAAACGCCCTTAAACTACTCGGATTGACACCAAATTTTACGGGCAAGTCTTAAACGACATCACGGACCTGTACCAAGCTTCGGAACCAAAATTCGAGCCCGATACCTAGGGAATCAATGATTACTTAGTTTCTTTAATTCCTTAAAGCTTCAATTAAACAATTTTAGATAAAAATTCATTACTCGGGCTAGGGACCTCGGAATTCGATTCCGGACACACGCCCAGGTCCCATATTTTCCCACGGACCCTCAGAAATTGTCAAATCACAAATCCAGGTCCATTTTCCCAAAATGTTGGCCGAAGTCAAACTTGGTCTTTTTAAAAAATCCTAAGGAAGCAAATGGGCATATTTTTACTCAAAACCCTTCCAATTCCCGAACCAATCGCCCCCGCAAGTTGTAAATTAGTTAAAGCAAGTACGGGAGGCTTTATTTAGGGGAACGGGGTTCTAAAAGGCAAAAAGACCGGTCGGGTCGTTACACTTATTGGCAGATCTACTCCTCTTGTCATACGTCTTCAATGGAGACAGTTTTGCGTTGCAATCATCACCATCTTCTAACACGGACGATCCACTTTCTGATATGCTTTTCTTGATGGGAGTTTGTAAAATAGATTTCATCTTACTTTCGGCCACAAAATCCTACAGAAATAAAAAGAATCTATAAAGAGGAGCTGGAGAGCGATACTACCTTTGGTTGCATAATGATTAGTAATACCTTTTTACTAAATAATTAATAACGTTATAACTGTTTTAATTTCATGAAATTACCCCATAAACCTTCTCTTTACCCGAGATTTGTCCATCAGGTATTTCCAAAGGATCCTGTTAAAAAGTAAAACAAAACAAAATAAACATTCATGTTATGAAGGTTGTAGGGTTTATATTTATTCTTTTTCGTAAATGTATCAGTAGCTTAATTTGTGAGTGAAGATATTTTACTGTGATAGTGTCTTCAAATGAACTGTGGGCATATTCCTTTAGAAGATCGCCATCATCAGTAACCTTAACAACTTTGTAGACTTCGTCTTGTGACTCAATATTGGTTTGCTTAACAATAACCTTAAACATGAATTTTTTATCAAGAATATCGTCCAGTTCGCTTGGATAAGAACAATCAGCATCCGCATCAGAAGTCTACACCAAATTTCGTAGATCAGAAATATTATAATTGACAACTACACTTAAATTAAGTTTATTATTATACCTCAACTAATCCTTCCTTCAATTCTTTTGCGGACTTTCCTATAAGTTGTTGAGCTTCGCGATTCCAAAGCAATAATGAGATAAAGGCAGTTCTATCCATAACACGAACTTGAAGCTGATACCTGCAATTAAATTTTGATTAACCTTATGTATTTCCTTTTTATGTGTTTTAAATCTATATAATAGAATAATTAACTGTGACCAACAGAACAATCTTCTTCATTGCATTTCTTACAAAAAAATTTATTTCCAACTTTTTTAACCTTTCTAGTACACTTGTTGCATCCCAAATATGACCATCCTCGTTGAAGTTCCAAATTCACCAACTTTGCAGCAATCCAGTAGTTACACTCCTATTTAACACAAAAATAGCGTAGTAAATGCAAAACATAAAACAAAAGGTAAGTAAATTTTTAAAACTATATTTAACTCACTTGTGTGCACTAAACTAAATCCCCAATAGTTTTAACCAATACTATTCTTTTGGCTAACTCATCTCTAATAGAGTAAGTTTGCTGAGAACTTGTCTGAATAAGTGGCTCATAGTTTGATTAGAGCGCTGCATCTAATCTGCATAAGTCAAAAACTTTAAGTTTTAAATAATAATATTATATTTATAGTATATATAAATAAGAATTATACCCTTGACAAACCTGGATTTAAAATCGATAAATTGCGGAAAAGTAGGATTTATCCATATTTTTGAAGCATACCAACAGCTACGCACTGAGTAACCTATGAATAAAATTAAAAAATTACAAATTGAAAACTATAAATTATTTTAAAATGTTTATCAAATATAAATGTAACTATTGGAAAACCTCGATATTTTTGAGCTTTCATAAGTTGAAGAACAACAATCAAAGGATCAGCAGTAGATGCATTCAAGTGAGGTTGAATTTGATCCACAAGTTCACTCCATAAGGTTGCTGAAATCCTGTTCCTCCTATATGTTTCACGAAAAAACCACAATAAAAAAAGTCCTTTTTACTGCAAAGTATAGTTTCTATTTGTGAATGACTTACTTATCATCTTCAAGTTCAATATTCATAAAGACACTTTTGTTGTCTCCTAGCTTGTAGGTCCGAACAGCTTCATAAGTCATAACCTGACCAACGACATCTACAAATATAAAAGTTAGTCACAAAATTTTAATAAAAGTAGTATTAAATTAAATGGAAAAGAAGAATTACCGAATAATTCTGCCTCATCAACATCATGTTGATTTGTGAAATGGTCAAAAGGACGCAAGTTAAAGATATCCATATAAAATGTAGGATCAGTAGTTTCCTCAACTATTGTCCTCTGCGTAAATGTCAGCCTCAAATTGTGTGTTGTAGTCTTTAATTTTAAATTATTTGGCCCAACAACGAAGTAGGTCATGCGATATAATCCGAGTTCCTGTATCTTATTCTTAAAGAACTTTATAACATACTTCCCGATTGAGGCATGTATACAATCACCCTAGAAAATCATATTAATTGTTAGGATGTATTAGATTGGTAAAAATTGTTAATGCTGGAAATTAGTAAACAATTGTCAACAAACATTGTAAAGTTTTTTGTCAGAATGTGCATATTTTTAGAATTTGCAGTAGCTATAGAGATTATACAATTGTCAGCAAACATTGTAACTTTCATTGGCAGAATATATGCGTATTGTTATATTTTGCAGCAGTTTCAGGAGGAACATCATATTTTATTTCTCAGATGGATTATATAAGATGTAATATATTGTTAATATTATATTTTTGGTGGAAATAAGTAAACAATTATCAATCAGATGTTCACACATAATCACTTCAAGTTGGTAGTTTCATTTTTTTGAGGATTATTGGAAACTAATAAACGATTGCACATTGGAAAATCTATGAACCATAGCAGCAGAGAAGACGAAGAAAAAAGTGAAAGCAATTATAAATATGTTACCTTTGCATCTTGTAATACCAACTCTATTGAATAGGGTATTTCAGGCTTGTAGCGATCCGGGATTTCCCACATTCGAGATACTCTAACTTTCAAATTCCATTGCATGGAGTTGCTTGAAATTTGTTTGATGTTATGAAGTTTTGTAGCCATATTTGCAAAGTTCGTATTCTGACCAAAGCAAAAAGGGAATGGAAAAGGAATTAAAAGGAGTCGCATAAAACTGTTGATGTAGTTATGGAGAAAGTGGATAAGTTATGGAGTAATAGTGGGATACCCATGTTTGGGAAGATGATCGTGGTTATTTTAAAAAAAAAATATTTCTTCCGGTTTATTTTTGAAATCTATTCATATTGCACATTATCCTATTCCAAACGTGGGAGTAACTCCAGATGTGGTCAAAGTAATTTTTTTGTTTAATTTACAGGTTTACAAATTAAAATAAGTAGAACAACAAACGTGGGAGTTTTAAAGACTCCAAATGTCTATAAACTTCTGTAAACCAATTAAAGAAGTTTTAAACAATTTGAACTTCTTTTAACAAATTTAAAACCGTAGAACACATTAGCATGTAAGTTCAAATTGCATTAGCATATTTAAATTTTTATTTGAAATAATTTTAATTATTTTTGAACTTCCAAATTAGTTGAAGTTTGTCCAAAAATTGGACATATGTTTAATTTATGTATTGACACTTGGCACAATAATATGGCTTTGCTTCTCCTATTCTATATAGATAGATAACCCGATATTTTTAAAAGTGAACTTAAGTTATCTTTTTGAATTACAAGTTTACTAATTTTAACGAGATACACACACACACACACACACACACACACACACACACACACACACACACACACATATATATATATATATATATATATATATATATATCACACTGCTAAGTCCATAATCACCCAATGGAGCTAACGGAACTATTAAAACTCCATTCCGGAGTCGTTTACACATAAGTCAACATTTGATCAACCTTTTCAACTTAAGCTTTCAACCCTTGAGGCTAAGTGTCTCATCTCATTCCGAAACCTCCCCGGACCCGAACCAACTACCCCGGCAAGTCACATGGCAATAATTAAGCAGGGAATGAACAATAAATGGGGAACGAGGCTACAACTCTCAAAACGACCGGCCGGGTCGTTACATCATTGTAGACTTGGTAGTTGTTCCACACATTCATTGAGTAAGTCGTAATCCTAATTTTGTAATCATAATAGGCTTATTAAGATCCCATGCCTAATTCAGTCGAAATTAGGCATACATCATACTAGCCTGTGTAGCGATATGTCTGAGAGATAGTACAATGATACGAGATGTCCGTATCGTCATGTGTGAGAAGATTAATATTGCATGAAACAATTATATAGGAATGTATGGGATGTTTGTGTAGAGGTGTATGGATAGGTTCCAACTGTTGGTATTACTGTGTTAAAAATCAGAAAATTAGAGAAGCAGAGAAACATTAGTTTAATAAACAAAACAAAAAAAATAATTCCGAGCCCACAAGTTGCTTGTGTGTCCTTAAGGAATTTAATCCCCTCACTGTTGCCCAAGGTTTTGGATTAATTCCTTCCAGGATAGAACGGAATAACTATTCTGCAATACTGGCAATCGAAACTACAGAATTTCAGTGAACTCAACAAACAGAGCAAATCGCACTTGACACTTATGTTTATTGGAAAATAATGCAATAATATAGAAAAGAGGGGAGAAATTTTCAGAGTTTTCATCTCTTAAAAATGAGGCCAAGCCTCTAAATTTATAGACAAAGGAAGGGTGATATGGAGAGGTTCAATCCAAAAGGTGCCTCTTCTATTTCCCATTCACACCCATTTAATAAAAACGCAACAATCCCCCACATGAATGGGGAATGGACATATGTGGAAAAACATGCATGAAAATACTGTGTGATTCGCAAGTAAGGATTAATCGCATCTGGATAAGTAGGTTTCCCTTTGAACTTTCCGTAGTGAACTTATGTCGGATATACTCGGTCAATCGGTAGAATTGATATCTTTGAACCGTCGAGCTTTTGTGTATACCTAGACAACCATAAGTCACACAATCAACCAGTAACCGTCTTTGGTTCTCATTGGTTTCGTTTCAGCCATGAACACCACCTGGTTCATAAGTGCGTAGAGAACTGGCCTTACAGAATTCTCCTTGAAGCGGCTTACACTTCACACTTACATAGGTGATTCCTAAACGTGTTATCCCGTAGATACATTATCAAACTTAGAAACCATTAAAAGGTCGTAATACTTTATCCTTGGTACTGAACATTATCTCATCACGAGAATGGACCAAAAAAAAAATTTTATTTGACAATGTTGAACCGTCATTAGTGACTTTGTTTGAGCTCCTTGAACCTAGATCTTGGGATCTCCAGTCTTCTAGGTAGAGTTACCGCCACAATGACTTGTCCTCGGCCATAGTCACATTCCCCTCGATGATCTTTCAACTACCTCTCTAGTTAGGCCTTATAAGTGGATCCGACACATTATCACTTGACTTTACATAGTCAATTATGAAATTCCCCTAGAGAGAGTTGCCTAACGGTTTTATGTCTTCGTCGTATATGACAAAATTTTCCGTTATACATAATGCTCCCAGCCCTTCCTATTGTCGCTTGACTATCACAATGTATACATATAGGTGCCAAAGGTTTGGGCCAAAATGGAATATCTTCCAAGAAATTCCGGAGCCATTCAGCTTCTTCACCGGCCTTGTCTAAGGCTATAAACTCAGCCTCCACTGTAGAGTGGTGAATGCACATTTGTTTGGATGATTTCCAACTCATCGCTCCTCCACCGACTGTTTAGAATCGGTTGAACCGGTGATCTAATTTGCATCACTATACCCCTATATTATCGCGGGATACTTATTGTAGTGCAAAGCATAATTTGGAGTATATTTCAAATACTTCAAAACTCGTTTCATTGTCATGAAAGTTCAATGCAAACTTTCTTATGTCGTAGACTAATACGTCTTGACTTTTGATTGCATATCAGATTGTTGACTACACTTAATGTAATAATAATATATTATATATATTATAACAAGCTGGAATGATTGGCATCAGTTGTGGCCACAACCTTTTAATATATAACACATTTCGCAATCATTCCGCCATTTTCAAGCATTTGTATGCTATTTATTCATACGTTCAAGCATATGATATGCAAATTATAGCACCTCCATTCATGAAACGAATCCAACTTGGAATGGATCTTGGTTATGTTCATCGATTGGTTCACCTCATTATAGACCAACGTATTAATACATTTGTTCATAAACGGTCATGTTTATACAAAATATATAAACGTACTTTTCATGAAAAGTCACAACCTTCCAGGTGACACCTTTCATAAAAGAGCTAAACATTAGAAATGTTCAAGAAAGAACAAATCATTTCTGTAAAGGCACGTAAACAACTTTCGAATTTGTAGTTTCATTACTAGCCATCACTAAGACTGAACAAGTAATGAATTCACCGACTATCATATCAATATCCTTAAGGATTCGTGGGGTTCGAAGAATCATATCATCTAGTTCTTCTAAATAATATAGACATCACGTCTAACATTAGCTTTTGTTATGCAAAATGCCCCCACATTTCTCATGTTTCATGTGCCTTTTCTATCAACATATAATCCATATATAACCAAACAATGACTACATAATTTAGAATATTCTTAATGTAAATACACTAGTTTGAAACCATTTGACAATATTTTCTAATCAAATTTCGCATGCCATTGTTTGGATACTTGTTTTAGTCCATAAAGTGACTTAACAAGTCGACACACCTTTTTTTTCCCAGGAACCACGACCCTTTCAGGTTGTTCCATATAAATTTCTTCCTCCAAATATCCATTTAAGAAGGTTGTCTTTACGTCCATCTGATGGATTTCAAGGCCATACACGGCGGGTAACGCTATTATCATCCGAATAGATGCAATTTCGTTACGGTAAGCATTGTGCCAAAGTAATCAGACCTTCTCATTGTCTTAATCCTTAATCAATCTTGCCTTATATTTGTCAATAATACCATCAGCTTTTATTTTCCTTTTGAAAATCCACTTAGAATCCAAAGGTTTATTTCCTGGAGGAAGATCAACCATTTTCCTAAGTATGATTACTTAATATGGATTCTATCTTACTATTGACAGCTTCTTTCAGGGAAGACATAACTTCTTCCAAAGTTTGGAGTTCATTTTCTAACAAGAATGTCAGAATATGATCTTGCATTCACCTCATTAGGTGTACTTTCCTTTGCTTCTTCCCGAGGTCGCTAAGATATTTCGCTAGATGACTCACATTCCTTTTTATACGGATAAATATTCTCTAAGAATTTAGCATTATCCGATTCTATTAATGTATTAATATGAATGTCGGGATCTTTCTGATTTATGAAGCAGAAAATGATTGCCTTTACTATTTGTTGCATATCTATGAAACGGAATCAACAATTTCCGATCCGATTTTACACTTGAAAATATTTCAAGTTGGTTTTCTTCCTTTCATCATTTTTTCATATGAATGGAATTCCGTTTTTGCTATGGAGAACTCAATTGAGTATTCAGTTAGCTGTAAGAATACTTCTCCCCACAAGATCTAGGGTAAACCAAACTTACAACAAGGCATTTTATCATCTCCTTTAACGTCCTACTCATTCTTTCCGCAATTCCATTAGATTGCGCTAAGTAAGGGGAAGTCATTTGATAAATAATACCACATTCCAAACTTATTTCTTTGAAAAGGAGATTCACGTTCACCACCCCTATTACGTTGTTAGAGCCAACCACAAGAATTGTTGTTTGTGTCACGACATAGCCAGAATTAATAAATGGTGAAGCTTTTAATCTTCAAACCAATCTGACACATTCAGAATTAATAAATGGTGTAGTTTTTAATCTTCAAACTGAGTAACATCTGATACAACTAAATCTAATAAACGGTGAAGTTTTTAATCTTCAAACCGATTAATATGTGACTAATCAAATTTAATAAACAGTGAAGTTTTTAATCTTCAAACCGAATAATAAATTGGAGTAGAATATCACTAAGATTTTAATCTCCAAAACGAATATAAAGTCACTTAGACTTTAATTTCCGACATATGAGTAGAAAGT